CTGCAAGCAGAGGAAACACCAAATGAAGGCGGGGCCGAGGTTTAAACTTCATTTTAACATATTCTCCTACTCCAGACATGCAGCTTCAGTCCCTGCTGCGTGTCTGATTAAACACCAAAGTTCACTTAATTGAATGAGGCTAAAGACAGAAACGCAGACAAAAAGCAAAGCGAGCGAGCAGCGACGAGGTTAATGACGCCTCAGGAGGTCCATAAACACATCTAATCTCCATTAAACACGGCGGAGACGGCTGTGGACGGATTACCGACCAACTCCACCGGGACCCAGCGGGGAACGACGCGGCGCCGTTTGCACAGTCACAGTCGTCGTTACAGTGCAGACCGACAGTGTGAGACTCAGCAGCTGCACTGCGGTGCGTTCAGGAGCTGAACACTGAAGTTAGCCTCTGAGCAAAACACAAACAGCACGCAGGGGTCAGCAGCGGTTTGGTGGGAAATCTACAATAATGCAGCACCTTCAGTCCTGCGGTCTGATCCTGGATCAGCAGCGTAAATAACTTAACCTAACAAACATATGACAAACAATAACATAACAAAACCTGATTCATCGTGTTCACTCAGAAGGAAGTCACCAACACCTGACACATGGCTGCTCTGTAGAGCAGAAACAGGCTGATCGCCCCGCATCCTTAAGCCTGAGGGCCCCAAAGCCTCCTGGGAAATGGGTGACTGGGTGTCTGCAGGACTGATGGGAGACTTGTGACTGACTAACACCCACGCAGCGTGGGAACAGGCACCATGTGACCCACCTGCCGTCAGGGTTGACCCCACCCGCAGACTTGGCTGAGGAACATCACGGCTGCAGTTCCTGTAACGTCCACTGGAGGCTGCAGCAGCGATTCATGTCTGGCTCCGCCTCTGTTACAGCCTGTATGACTGCATGACTCATTAGGAGCGGGGCCTCTTTGACTGACAGGTGGATGGCGACACAGGCGGCTGTAGCTGCTAGCTGGACCCCTGGACTGTGTTTGTGCTGTTGGAGCACTCTGGCACATTTTTAATGACATCATCTGACCAATAACATGGCTGCTGTGAGGTTACTGTAGTAACAGGAAGTTCAAGAAGGCGGAGCTCCATTTTAATTGGCTGATGAGGATTACCTAGTTGTGCCTGGTTTAATAAAATGAGGTTGTTGTCATGAGCGGATGCTGCATGACGGCGTGTCGTTACCTGACAGTGCAGTCAGGTAACAGCCAATCAGATGTTGAAGCGTCTCAGTGAGCGTCCTGGAATGCGACCGTTTAAGACAGGGGTGGGGACCTCCAGGCCTCGAGGGCCGGTGTCCTGCAGGTTTAGATGTGTCCATGATCCATCGCAGCTGATTTAAAGGGCTAAATGACTCCTCAGCATTTCTTGAAGTTCTCCTGAGGCCTGGTAATGAACTAATCATGTGATTCAGGTGTGCTGACCCAGGGTGGGATCTAAAACCTGCAGGACACCGGCCCTCGAGGCCTGGAGTTGCCTACCTCTGGTTTAAGAGATTGCTGAAAGGCGCTGCATGCAGGGACTCAGCTTTTCCCCAGCTGGATCCAGCACATCAGCGCCGACGTCATCGTCAAACCTCCCGACACTCCTCCTCCTCCTCCTCCTCATCGCCTGTTTGTGTGTACAGTTGCTTCAGAATCAGGTCAGCTGTTATAACGTGAGAGCTCACAGCAAACATTCAGCTGGCAGAGCGGCGACGCTGCAGCCACTTTTATCACTTTTATGAACCGAGTGAACATTTATGATGCAACCCTGGCTGAGAGGAGCGTGCACAGCTTTGAGCTGCTGCTCACAGACAGCTGAGACCAGAGCGCCACATCAGCCCGTCACTAAGATCTCTGACGTCATCGCGAGCTTTAAAAACATGGACGTTTTAATAAATATGAGAAACTCCGACTCCAAACAGACCACTGCTTGAAATACAAACTGAAGTCAAGACTGAAGAACAGACTTGTTCAGAAGTCACCTGGATGATGACGAAACGTTTCTCCCACTGAAAACGCCGCGTCCACACGAGCCAGCCCCGGGATTTCCTTACCTGGATGACTGAGCACGCAGCAGGAGGGTCAAATCATCTAAACACCAATTGTAAAAATCATTTGATGCTTCAGATTTTAAAAGGTTACAACACAAAAGCAGAGAAGTTTCTGCTAAAAACAAATAAATGAACCGCAGCCGATGAGCTTCAGCCTCTGACGCGTTGCCTTCAAATGTCGACGTGTCAGTGAGGTCATACTCTGACTTCATTTCCATTTTAAACATGGTCCTTTTAACGGTTTTCTTATCTCAAACATCAAAATTTGGGGTTTCAGCAGTTTGCTCCACACAGCTGTTTCACAAAATATCAAAATATCAAACACGATTGTTTAACGAGTCTGTCGACGGACAAATCGTCCAAACTTCAGTCGTGTTTCAGTCTGAGCTGAAGATGCTGCTGATTTCACACACACACACACACACACACACACACACACACAGACGACACACGCCAGACACGCAACACAACACCCAGACCACACGCACAGACACGCACACACACACGCACGCACACACACACGCACACGCGCACACACACACACACACAGACACACACGCACAGACACACACGCACACACACACGCACGCACACACACACGCACACGCGCACACACACACACACGCACACACACACACACACACGCACACACACACACACACACACACACACACACACGCACACACACACACAGACAGACACACACGCACAGACACGCACACACACACACACACACAGACACACACGCACAGACACACACGCACACACACACGCACGCACACACACACGCACACGCGCACGCACACACACACCACACACACACACACACACACACACACCACACACACACGCACACAAACACAGACAGACACACACGACAGACACGCACACACACACACCACACGACACACGCACAGACACAACCACACACACACGCACGCACACACACACGCACGCACACACACACACACGCACACACGCACGCACACACACGCACGCACACACACACACGAAGTAGGACGCTCCACTCATGTCAAACACGTTGATCTGGGTCGCTCTTCACTCGAGGCTATCGATGCATCGGCATCTCGACGACGGGAAACTTTCCTTCTGAAAATGAGCGATGGCCCTGCTGCTGCGGTCACCTGTCAGAGGCCACGCCCCTAATAAATGCAAACTTTGGAGTTGAGTTATAACAACATCCTCCCCGTGCAGGTGGTATGAAGGGGAAATTATCCACAGAGAAAAACGGTCTGTGTATCAGGCCGTAAACACGGTTACTTCTACTGTAACCGACTCACTGCTGCCCCTGCTGTCCAGCAGAGGAACTGCAGGCTGACAGTTGATTATGACTAAAATAAAAATGGCCTGTAGTGTTTACAACACCTGACATTGCTACCAAATTATACCTGTGACGAGATTAAAAAAAGTCTCCCAAAAAACATCTTTAATCACAGTAATTATTATTTATTGTTGATTATCTGATAAAGCGACAGATTGTTTCCTGTACTATACAGAAGCAGTAATTTCAGCCTCCACCGAGGTTCATCTGTCCTCCTGACAGAAGCTCAGGTGTGACTGAAGCAGGTATTCAGCCTGAGCTCGTTCAGCCTTCGATGATGCAGATGTCGAGATGAGAGCCTCGTCTGAGCTTTGTGACGCTCGCTCGTCTGTTGCCATGGCGTCTGAGGATGGCGGTGAACTTGGTGGGATGTTTCAGGGCCTTTGTGTAGGAAGGCATCTGCAGCGTGTCGGGGGCGTCTTCACTCATAATTATAGATTTTACTGAGTGTTGCTCGAGCTGCCTGCCAGAGGTGAGTCTGACGGCCTCACGCTCCGCTTCAGTCACGCTGCTTTTCACTCCCGTTAGCCTGAAAGTCATCTGATACGCCAACCACGATGGAAAGGATCTGCTAGCTCAAAGTGGGCCCTCTGATTGTCGGGGTTTCCTCGGTGTCATTGTAGGGTCCTTACAATATAAAGCACGTTATAAATAAAATTGAACTGGTCGTGAATGACTTCCTCTGTGGATGGATCATTTTCAGATTCTGTTTTTCTCTCCACATCCTTTCGTGAGTGACACCAAAGCAAGGTGTTGTATATTAAGTTGTAACAGCGCGGCGGTACAGAGGTTAGCCCTGTCCTGTTATTCACAAGGAAGGATCTGTTGGCGCATCTCTGAGCACGCACCCCAAACTGCAGTTACCAGAACCTTAAAAGGCTCGTTGTTCTGAAGGCGTTTCAGCCAGGACGGCGTTCGTCTTCTCTCCCGAGGTCAGAGAGCGATCAGCATTTCCACTCTGGCTTTCAGGTTCAGGACCTGCTGTGGGTCTGTACTGAGCTGTCATCATGATCGTTAATAGTTCCAGGATGAACTGAAGCTCTGAGGAAAAAAAGGATGGATTCACTGCTGATTTTGAGGCATTGATTTGATGATTTATTCCTAATTGTTCTATAAACTGTAAACCAGAGGCTGCACTTTGTCTCCTGTGAGTCTCGCAGTTTCCAGACTGACGGAGGTCACAGCTACAAACCTTCACTTCTGTTTCAGGAGATAAAATTTTAAATAAAACTTCCTTCTGGATTAAATCCAGGTGGATATCTGGTCTCCTGACATGAAGCCATCTGGCAGGAAGTGCAGCCACTCAGAGACCTTTCACTCTACAAACTGGGTAACCCACTTGTTCAGAACTCCCATCAGTCTTTGTTTCATTTATAGAAGCGCGTCGGCGCTCCACATCGGATCGCAGAGGGAGGCGAAATTCAAAGGAGCCGCTTTCATTCATAAAAACGACTCCTTATCTTAAACATAAAAGGGAACGCGAGCTGATCCCAGTGGAAGCCCCCAGTGTGCACGCCAGCACTTCCTGATATAAACGCTGAGCTAGTCCAGTGAAAACGGACAAACAGCTGCTTAATAACCAAAACTCAAGCTGATGCACGGCTGCTTATTTCCAGGC